GTGATGATGATCAACTACGCATTTGTATATTTCGCTACGAAGAATTTGTCTTCCGTTTAAAGACTATCATTGTAATGGGAATGCAAACAATCGGTGCTTATATTTCATAATGCAAACATTTATTTGACTTATGGATTTCAAATACATGTATAGTGCTTGCGATATTTTTGCATCATAGACTTTTTCAATCAATTTCGGTAGGATTCTTGAAGAAGAAGGCTGTATTAAGTGGTGTTTAAATGGTAACCGGTCATAAAACGTCAGTATTTGTCGTTTCTACAATAGCAGGGAGACCCCCCCCCCCCTGCCGCCTTTCGCACGTTCCTATTTCAAGAGTAAATGTGTTTTACCGCACCCTCACCCCCCCCCCCTCCGCCCTTCGCACGTTTATGTGTTTTACAGTATATTTGACCGTGGATTGATATTGTGACGAAATTATAGTTAAGTTCAAGCTTACCAGTGGTCATATGAATTTTCAAGAAACAACACATTTCTTATTTTATGTCATTAGCACATATTATTTATCAGTAAAATGTAATGAGACAGATACATTTATACAAATACTTTTGTACATAACAAGTAATCGATTAAATGTTTATGTATATTTCATTAAAACTGAAACGTTTAAACCTGTCTGTTGTATGTTTGGTTAGGGCCCACGAAAGGCAGGATACCATGTAGGGTATTTTACCCAACTTTTCTACGGGTTCGTAGGTTTCATCACTTTAATTTCTATAATTTTTAAAATGAGATTGTAATCAGTGTTAGTGCACTGGCTCGCTAACTAGGAAGTTCGGGGTTGGTCGAGAAAGCTCCTCTTCATGCAGGGTGGAGGGCCCAGTAAGGACAGTTTCCAGTCGTTCAGAGGTCCTAGTAAGGACAGTTTCCAGTCGTTCAGAGGTACCATACAGCCTATGTGGGGCCCCAGGGCAAAAGGTCCAGTGACGCCCCCCCCCCCCCCATGCATACTGTAACTGCTTTGTTCAGTGCCTGTGCTCCGTTGATTTTTAATGATTAAAGAAATTTTAATATACAGTTTATTATACTTTACTTTATCTAAATAACTTTTAAAATATCAACTGATACATTCGTATGTTTAATTCTCCTTCAACTCTCCATTTGATTGAAAAACCCAATAATATATCTTGGAAAAATCATAATTCTACCCTCTCTATTTGCTGAGGCCAGTCCATAAATATTCAAAGGGTCCGCCTTTGAAAATTTTTGGTATGCATTTAGATAATTTGCCGCACCCCAAGACCGTTTCAGTGGCTAATCCCTTACATTAACCAGAACGCGGGTAATATAACAACTCTTCCAGATCCTAGTGTAGTAAACGAAATTTTGAACCATAAAAACGAAACGGAATAGGATCTGTGTTTTAATCAAGTTGTCGAGAGGTTCACGTGACCTGTAATGGAATAAAATATGTCAGCTGTTGCAGAGTATAAAACATGAAACGAAACATTATTATTATCTGAATACATGCATAATCCGATTGTAGATTGAAGAGATGATCCATTTGAGTTGCATAGACGTCCTCAATTAGTAATATACACGCCCCCATTTAATATTATTTAATAACTGTGTCTTTGTGGGTAAAAACATAGAATAGATCACGACGTATAATGAATTTGACAGTGAAGACAATGGAGACAAAAACCTGTGGTCTTATTCCTTATCATAGAGCAGCTAAAGTTGCAGTTACTTCCCTTTATTTAACAAGCCTCCAAGTGCGTTGAATCACCAACTGATAGCAGTGCCGGACTGGGCCCACCTGTCCACATGTCCGTGACAGGTGGGCCTAAGCTCATTAAAAAAAGTAGGCCTAAGCCTATAAAGAAAAAAGAGAAAGTAAAAAGAAAAGAGAAAGAAAGGAGAGGGCCGAGGGGGAGGAAAGAAAAGAAAGAAGGAAAGAGAGGACAGGACACAGGACAGGAGAAAGAAAAGATAGAAAAAAAATGACTGACAAACAACACAAAAAAGAAGTGTACTACAAGGGAAGAACTAATATATTAAATAAAGAATATTACAGAGAGTACAGGTTGTCTTAGCTGCAATTTTTAGCCGAGATAATTCGTATCTACGGCTGCAATTGATACACTATTCGACTCTTTACGCAAGTAAAATTAGGTTCAGTTGCAAAATTTTCAACACATAGCATCATAGTTTGCATGGAAATAAGTGATTATGTTACAAATAGTGAAGAGTGGAACACAGAAATCTTAATTTTATCATACCGAACAGTTGTTCTGTATTTTCGAGTGATATAATATCACGTGATTCAGGTACGCCGGTCATTTTAATTGAACAAAAGTTTCGCATAGCAGTTGGGTTAAATCAAATCATATAATTATACAGTAAGGTTTTACCTTTATTTCAATGAGAATTGGTTTATTATATGTTGAGCTATGTGCAGTACAGTTTGGGGTCAGTGTAATTGGAAATTAAGGGAGTTATAGGCCAGTAAATTTTTTGTAGTAGAATGACTACAAAACGTGCGCAAAGGAAGGCCTTATAAGGCCCGGTCCCACTGCACTTACGGATGCAAAGAGGATGGAAAACAGGGAAAAAACGTGCCCTCCGTTTGAAAACGCCATGCATCCGTTGTGTACTCACTGCATACGTGTTTCATACGCTCTATCCATCGAGCATCCGTTCACTTTGATTTCATCCGCGCAAAAAGTTTTGAGCTGCACAAAACTTTTATAACGGATGAACTTTCTGCCGTGTACGATGTAAATGCGCGACATATACGAGCACCAAACGTTCCATGTCCGTAACCATCCGTTAAACGTCCACTGTATCCTCTCTGCATCCTCTGGGCATCCTCGCAACTCACATCCGCTCCAGCTGAAAGATAAGGTACATGGAACGTCTATACATCGTTAGTAGCACGGAAATAGAAAGGATGTAAGCGTATGCATCTCGTATATAAAGTTTTCAAAACGGACAAAGCGTTTGTATCTTGGATGTATCTGGTATATTGAAGGATGTCGGAGCTGTCATCCACTTCCATCCGCTTTCATCCGCTAGGCTTCCGATGAACATCCATTTAACATCCCCGCTACATACTTCCCACGTTCGTTCTTTTCCGTTCTGTTTTCGCAAATTTTCGTCAATTTTGTCCATTTCTGGAGCGGATGAAAACGGATGGAGCCACCCCCGAAAGTTTGCTCGTCCGCTGTGTCCTTTTTGCATACGTTTTGTGTCCATCGGCCACTGGGACCGGGCCTTTAGGACCGTCCACTACTGTGGCTGGAGTAAGACGTAAGACATCAGTAGTGGAACCATTTCTAAGGTTGTCTGTTCTGCTTGTCACAACATTATAAAATTATAGTTGACTAGTGCCATCAATCTAAAAAAAAACCTGAAGATTACTTTGACTATCCTTGAAGCTAAAAAAATAATTTGTTACTTCTTTAGAGAACAATTATCAGTTATTATCACAGAAGTAAACAAATGTCATCATAAGCTCGTAAGGTTCATGAGCTTATGATGATATTCGTTTACTTCTGCGAGTTCGAAGATTCTCGCTATATTCTGTGATGTGCGTCAACAGAACTGTCAAATACATGCACCGTATGTATATTGTAATTTGCATTATTTTCATCACGGAGAATAAAAGTTTTTTGTTTTTGACACTGAAGAGAATTCTCAAATTCATCTAATGATAGTGCTCTTAGGTCATTCTGTTGTATCTAATTGTATCAGGAAATCAAAAATTTGCCTTCTTCTGCTTTAGTCTGAAATGCTTGGAAAATGGGTTTGCGGTTGTCAATTTTCAAAATAGTGGGCCTTGGTTATTGACCTGACAGCAAACTGCACGCAGCGATCCATCGACGTCATACTTCGAGATTATGATCACTGCCCTAGTTGCCCGTCATTTAAAACGCTCACGTGATCATTTTGGGGCGGGACTTATCGACTGGACTATTACTTTGTGTACACAACAGAGTAAAAATAACCCGATCAAGCACGTGTTTTATGTAAACACATGTCATTGGCAAAATGTCAACTTCTGCCACTCCGGTAAAAACGATATATAATATGTGCTATATAGTGGGTAATATTGCAATACATTCTTTGCCATTGTAAACTGTCTTTAGAGTTTCAATCTGTTTGTCTTTCAAAACAGGGATAGATACTCCTATTTTGTGATTCGGCTTTGATTAGTTTGACATCGTTCATACACACAGCGGCTAAATAAACATATTTAATTTCATTCAATATGACAATAGAAGAGAAATAAATACTTCTAAAAAATAATTAAAGCATACTCAGTGTTTTCGACTAAAATCGTCGATGTAGGAATTAAAATGTCGGTTAATTAGCTAAGGGCCTGTTCTCAGTCGGAGCTAGCTGTAGACAGGCAGCCTACCTAAGTTTGGGATGAACTGATAGTTGATTTTAAACAGTATTTATTTAACATATAATTGCACACAATATACAATACATAATAAATTATATGTATTTGGAAACAAGTTCAATTTCATCAATACTCTTTTGTTTTAATCTTTCGATTGGGTGGGCGTGTCAACATTTGCCACTTTCCAGTGGGTGCAAGCTACAAACTGTAAAAACTGTCTAAATTTGCCCCTTTGACGTACACATAAAAGAACCATCGACGGATGGAACTCGAAATAAGAGAAGGCCGTAACACCTCTGTCTGGGCTAAATTTCCCTCATAGCACACCGTATGGCATAAGCCCGTTTTCATTAGCTCAGTTTAGGAGCACAACAGTAGAACGTTAAACCCCTTTTCATTTAATTTAACAATTTTTAGCTCATATATAAATGTTGATAAGTTTTGTACAATAGAGATGTTTGTATTATATGATCGCTATAGGATATATTGAACTTGTAAATGATATTATTAAACTTAATATAAACTAGTAAAATGTATATACTCAAGTGCCTTCCGGGTGGGTCATTTTCTAGTGAGATCCAAAATCTTCCGTTTGAATCATGACTAACATATATTTAGTGAAGTTAACACCCATTAATATTACATACAACACATAATAAATGAACTAGTAGCCATAAATGATAATACATCATGATGCTGTTACATGGATATAGATATGTTTTGATTCAGGCCCTTTCTTTGTATTTTGTTCAACTTCTTGTCGAATCGCTGCGTAAGTATATCTATTTATTTTTTATTTGTTTTAATCTTACATTAAGCGTTAATGCTATTCATTTACTTTTTACTTTACTGTTAAAGATACATTATGGGAGATAAGATAAAGAGATGGCAGTTCTCGCTATAATAGTTAAAAACTAGATAGTGTAAAGGTAATTTGCTGAAAATTTCAGTCAAATTGATCCACTATGAGCCGAGAAAGAAGCGGGTGAAATTTTTGCATAGTCTCGGTCATCATTACTAAAATCATTGATATAAACAGCATAGTCTCGATTATCCACTTTGTTTGATTTAATTAACAATGGCCGTTAGCGGCATATAGGAATCAGCCAACATCGAAGGCTAACCTTGACATCGAGAGTTTATTATGGTCTGGATAGATAATTAATGTCTAATTGATAATTTAGATAACATTTCAGGCCTAAAGAAAGACTTGTAATAAGCAGATTTTGCTCTTGCATAATGCATGTTTAATTAATTCAATTTTTATATTACTCAGATATCGATCAATTTAGTTTTGTTCAGGGTCGAATATGCAAATAGCCATAGTAGGCATTTGGCCCCGGACCCACAGTTTCTGGGCAGCATGCCAGCGTATAGTCCGGATACATCGACTATTTCATTATACAATTTTATAATCAAAACCATGAGGTCCTCTGTACAATAAGTATAAAGGGCCCGGAAGCATGCCAACTTTTCTATAAATTTGGGGGGCCCACCGATGAGTTTCCGGCCGGCCCTGGTTAATATATAGGCTTGCAGCCAGATTTTCTAGCGTGAAATTTCTCTCCATGGACCCCCCCCCCCCCCTACAACTACAATCTACGACCAGTATAAAATGGATGTGCATATTTTAGAATGAATTTCGATTACATCCAAGCAAAATATTCGCACAGAGCCATATTATGAAAATCGTGATAATTGTCAAACAAATGCTATAGTTACACTAACAATTCTGAAGTTGATGGAGAAAATACCTACTGACTTCGCCACTTTGGCCAAGAATAGTGTATTGGTTAAATTTTGATTTAAACAAAAATACCCAAAACAGAAAGGACATGGCTACACGGGGAATTTTGTAAATCCATTAGGACTAAGACTAGTAATGTAGTGCGAGTTATAAATAGACAATTTTTCCCTTAATTTTTTTTCTCACCTCTTCGTTCATTTTTGGGTTGACTTTTTGGTCTAGAATTGGAAAAAAGGGGGTCAAATTTGCAATTTGAAAGCAGTTTTGGGTAATACTGATGATATTACAGCGGAGGGATAGTGGGTGTTAAAGTTACAATTTCATATTTTCTAAGAAAGTCAAAACGTAATTATTTCTATGTATTTTGCTCAATAGGTTGTCAACTCACTATTATACGATCATAGGTTATCTTTCTCACACTTAAAAATCTTCACGCCGGAAATAATAACACAATTACCTCTAAATTACCTCCCTTGTTTTCCTATTCTCCACCATGGAATAGCTATCTTCAAACGTTTGAATTTGAAGTAGAAAATGATATTTTTGCCAATTTCTCAACTGGCAATAGTGAATTATAGGATTAATAGGATTTTTAACAAGGTAGGACTGTTTATAGATACTATCTTTTTTAGGGCTTTTTTAAATACATTTTAAAAATATAACTTAAAAATATGAAATTGTAACTTTAAGTGCCTTTCTGAGATTTTCACCCCAGTCAACATCAAATCCCCGTAGCAAAAACTCTGAACGGTCAATCCCCTACAAAATTATGATGAGTAGATTGCCAAATGTGGTCCCCATTGTGCCTATAAAGATTCCAACTAACGAAATGTTGAGCAAAAAGCCACAGCCTGTGATGTTACGGTCATTTAACATTGAAGTCAATGGGCAAATAATTGCTAGTCTGAGCCCATTAGGAGACAGAACACCATTAATTTCCCCATTGACTTCAATGTTAATTCTGGCCTCTTTGTCCACCTCCAACTTTTCCCCAAATTTTCGTTGGGCTGAATGCTTTTACTACAGACAGGGGAACAAATGGTCATGTCTTTGCACTAAAATCTGTATGAGGTTGACCACCAAAATTTTGAGATACCCAAACTTGAAGAAGCATACTAAAACCTTGTAACTAGTTGCCGTACATATCGCCGTACCTAACCTGATAACCCTCTTATCCTTCCGCCTCAAAATCATGAATATTTACCAAAACCTGGCAGAAAATGTTAATTCAAACCCTCTTCGTCCATTCTAGACCAAAAAATCAACAAAAATGGGCATGCAAAAGGGGAGAAAAGAGAGAGAGAGAGAATTGCTATAAATAGACGAACTACAATTCGTGATGAAATTTAATGGTGGTCTGCCTCCATTAACGGTAAAAGGAGTTATCTCTCTTTATATATGCCGAATGTCAGCAATTATTGATAACATCCAGTTTAAACAATATTTAAAATTGTTAGCATGGTGTCTATTTATAATATTATGAATAATATGTTATTTAGTATAGTACTTCCTGATTTGATATTTAAAGTTTGGGTGTAAAGTTAATGACATGAAAGACAAGGGGTAAAAGTAAAGCATAATATATTATCACGCTCAAATATATAAGTAGGCTAGACATGAATTTTTATTTCCTTTCCTTTGCTGACAAAATCATGTCTCTGAGCAGGGCCCGATAAGAAGCCAAATTAGATAATCTGACATTCGACTTGCCAGACCCTTCTACTACATCTGGGGATCACGTGGCTAAAAATTTGAACAAGCGCACTAAATACAAAATATGCACATAAAACATTACAGCTTCAGTGATGCAGGACGGAGGGTCTGACAAGGACAGCTGTCTAGTCGTTCGGATGGGACGAAAACCGAGGTCCCGTGTACACATTTGCGTGCACGTAAAAGATCCCCTGACAGTTGGAATTCGATATAAGAGTAGGCCATAGTGCCGCTGTCCGGGCAAAATTTTCCTCATAGCACACTGTTTGGCGTATGCCCGTCCCCCATTTCATTTCATTTCATTTCCACTACATCTGATTTTTTATGAGTAATTTTATCTCAAAATGAAAAAAAAAAAAATCGAAATTGCTTATTGTTGGGCCCAAACACTCAATGGCAGAATCACTCAATGACGCAGTTGCCTAACTGACGTCACTTGACTTGGGCCTACTTTCATTTTACGTTATTTTTTATTTGTTTACATGCTTTGATTTTTCATATATGGAGCCGAATAAAAAGTGCAGAAAAAGTCCTTTGTTCCGTATCACTTTATTATTAGTTTCCGACGTGGTTTCCCCTTGTCAGTGGTGCAGGAAGGAAACAGCTGTCTAGTCATTCGGATGGGACGAAAAAGGTCCCTTGGCAGGTAGAATTCTATATAGGACTAAGAATAGGCCATAGTGTCGCTACCCGGGGCAAAATTCCCCACTTACCACATAGTATGGCGTATGCCCATCCTCATATCCCAGTCGGAGCAGAAAAGTAGGACGTTAAACCCCGTTTCATTTCATTTAATTTTGTGTTACTTTATTCAATACTAGCAGGATACCCGGCTTCGATCGGGGGTCATAACTCCGAAACCGGAAGAGGTAGACTAACGCCATCTGGCCTATGTTACTCCCCGGTCCGAGCTACCCCATACCCCAAATTTCAGACTCGGGGCAGACCTAGTGTAGCCGCCAGCCCCGAACAGACAGACAGATACCCGGCTTCACTCGGGGGTCATAACTCCGAAACCGGAAGTGGTAGACTAACGCCACCTGGCCTATGTTACTCCCCGGTCCAAGCTACCCCTATACCCCAAATTTCAGACTCGGGGCAGACCTAGTGTAGCCGCCAACCCCGAACAGACAGACTTCGCTCGGGGTCATAACTCCGAAACCGGAAGTGGTAGACTTACGCCACCTGGCCTATGCTACTCCCCGGTCCGAGCTACCCCTATACCCCAAATTTCAGACTCGGGGCAGACCTAGTGTAGCCGCCAACCCCGAACAGACCGGCTTCGCTCGGGAGTCATAACTCCGAAACCGGAAGTGGTAGACTAACGCCACCTGGCCTATGTTACTCCCCGGTCCGAGCTACCCCTATACCCGAAATTTCAGACTCGGGGCAGACCTAGTGTAGCCGCCAACCCCGAACAGACAGACAGACAGACAGACAAACGACAGTCACAAATATTTAGATAATGGAATTTCATAATCCTTGCTTGGCCCTTCACCTAAAACGATTGTCCACCACTGCCATACAGTGTGCTAAAAGGGAAATTTTGTCCGGACAGCGGCCCTTCGGCCTACACTTATTGTGAATTCCAACTGTCAGGGGTCCTTTTATGTGAAAACCAATGCGTAAATGGGGCCTCGGTTTTTCGTTCCATCCGAACGACTATACATTGTCCATTTCCAGGTCGTCCGTCCTGCACCACTTACAAGGGGAACCACGCCGGGAAATCCCGATGAAATTTTCCCCAACGTCTTACTCACTGCGCCACCGCGGCTCGCGTTATATAATTTCAGTCAATTACATACATCGCTAATGAAAGTTTTTCAAAGGATTTCGCCAAATTTTGTGTATCGCGGGGCTTTGATTGATTGAATGGTCTAGAGTGGTCTAATCACAATCGGCGCATTAATGATTGTGCACTAAGAGAAGTATCTTGAAAATAAGAGGAATTGGAAAAGATATCTCCATAGGTAGAAACAACAACCGCAAATTAAAACGGAACAATTTAGGCCATGCAATATATATATTCTGAGAGAGAGAGAGAGAGAGAGAGAGAGATGTGGGGGGGGGGGGAAACGTCCACTCGACACAAACTAGGTCATTTCGGGATAATATGCTTCAAATTTTATTTCAATAATCCGCTTGCGCGTAGGGGTCTTTAGCATTGGAAGGAAACGGGAGGACCCGAAGAAAACGGTTCATTCCCATACCGCCGACTCGCCGAGTTTTAGGGGAAAAATTTTGGTCGGCGTTAAGGGGTTGAGTCCAAATTCTGGTGAGTCGGCGATATGGGAAGACCCCGAAGAAAACCCACGAGGTTGTCACGTACATGTGTATATTCTGATTCTCAAACAATCCTAAAAATCTGATCCGGGAAGGAGTTTTTTGTTTTTATGTTTGTATTTTGTCCAAGGATCACTACTGGTATAAATGACTTATAATAAACATCTCATTTAAAGTAGCTAAGTCGCTAACTCAATATCATCCAAAATCTTCGACATTGAAAACACGATTTATTTGTCGGTTTAAATCAACATTGATGTTGTGATCTTACCAGAAAAAGATGGCCTTCTGATATACAATATTTAAGACAAAATAAACATTTTACAATTGGTACACGAATCGTGTACCATAGTGCGTTTCAGCGCTATTTGTAATAAGGAACTCTAAAAACAAGTCATGTCAAACGGTGACGCTATATTCTTATTTGGAGAGCAAGCCCAATAAATAATATCGGCGTAGACTGGAATAACCAGACGCTAGAGATTGAAATTCGATTGAGAATACTAGCGTATTTCGCCGAACCTAACTGATTAAAAATTATAGTAAAAACAGAAACGATTGAATGTAAATCAATATATATATACATTCATATTACATTATTGTATGCGTTGCGACCCATTTGTGTCAATTTCTAGGTCCCAAGAATTAGCGACTTAGCTCCTTTAAAGTCAATATATTTATCTCATTATGATGTTGAATGTGTGATTATCCAGTTCCATGTATGACTGTTAAAAACATTTATCAGGTTTACATATTTGATAATTGAAACCTACACGGTATATTTCCAGATACATTCAAATTGTTTTATCGTGATACTTCCTGTAACCCGGGGAAACTAATGAGAACGTTTGTATTTCTTGTTTTTTCTTTTTTTAAAGATAAAAGCGGTCATGCGGCTCATTTTAATTGGCGCGGAAGTATATATGAGAATCAGAATATTAGGCCCAAAACAATGCTATTTAATTACTCTCTTTATTATCATTCCTATAGAACCTAATTCATGCACTACTCCATCACTGGAAAATGGAAAGGTAAAGACAAAACCGAGTGGAAGAGGAGTATTCTTCCGGTGTAATAAGGGTTTCCAAAGACGACTTGGTGCCAAGTTCGCATTTTGTTTACCTAACGGGTTGTGGAGTAAACCACCACCAAAGTGTATACGTAAGTTCATGTATATATATATATATATATTGGCATGCTAGCACTTCCGGACAAAACAAGCGGCGTGCATCCATTGCGGAAAATAAACGAACTTCGCTGAAAATTTTGAGAACCGCTTTCCATTATTAGTAAATTATTTCTCGAATGTTGCTCATCACACTTACCCAATTAGATATTAGATATGTTCGAATCCCTTCTCAGAACCTTTACACCTGAACTCCATATGGGTCCTGTCCAGAAGGAGGTGGCCCACAATGAAAGGGACAATATAACGGATAGACATTTTACACAAAGTTATCACATTGCAATTAATGCCCTTTATGTGTTGTCATTTTAGGTAAAGGCTGCCGTGCGATACATTATGACAAGGACCTTCGGGTTAAAAGAAAATACAAGGGCGCCATGTTGAAATTTACATGTGTGGCTGGAATGCAACGTAAGGGACCAGAATTTATTTATTGTAATGGTAAAAGATGGAATGATGAAAACCCACCTAAATGTGTCGGTAAATATTAAATTGTATACACATAATTAAACCATGAAAAAAATACCTGTGTTTACGGTTACTTAGCCCAAAAGAATAGGGTCGATCGGTCGGAAAATCGTTTTATCTATTTGCTTTCGTGTTGGTTGTATAATCTATTTCCTGGCATTTCTAGCTTCATTACTGAGTAAGGTTCTTGAAAATAATATCGAAATTTCAGTGTTGGAATTTACCTTGAGACAATCACGCCAAGACTGAGTTCGTTTTCAGTAAGATAAGGGGAAAGGAAAGAGGCCGTATACCTTTCTTTCAACAATTTGCTTTCGTAGAGGGTCTGTAAAAGTTGCTGGGAAATTCACGAGTTTAGGACGATAATCCCTGGGTTCCTTCTACTGTTTTTTTTACAGTTATCATTATTAACAATGATTCAAGACGATAATCGCACAGCCAAGCTGCACTATCAATATTTTTGTTTTAATTTAAACATTACTAAAGTATGTCTACAAGTGGTGATATGTAGAACCCGGAAAACTCCCTACACCCACTTTCCTTATTTTATTCAAAATAGTCCCCATTGATTTCTTGATAGGGGCACAAAACATAAAATATCTACCATGCGTTTCTCATAATTTGCATATTGTAAGAACACTACAGCTTTCAGAAATCGGTATCGGAAATTTAAAAATCTTCTAACGTGGATTTAGCTGTGAATAAATTAGCTGTTGTCCCAAAAATGCAGATGACAGTCAGGGGCTTTCAGAGGAGGTAGGATAAACACAAATAAAGTTCAATATATTTACAGCTTTGAAAAACAGGCATGGGGGGGGGGGGCAATCTCAGTTAGGTGGGGGGAGCTGAGGCTATTTTCTTTGTCACTCGAATTTTGGGAATGAATCAATCATTAACTAAAACGAGTTTTCCACAAATGTTATTGTGTGAGGTCTTAAGTATAGTATTGTTTAAAAAGTAAACCGCGAGCGATTTCATTTTACAATTATACATTTATATTTCTATGATATATGGTCTCATTCTCTGATGTTTGAGCCCGAAAAACGGAAATGCATTGCCCGAAAAATAGACGGTTGACCAGCACCCCCTCCCCCCTCCCGGGGCTCCTACGCCTATGCTTTGAAAGATGGTAAATATCTTCCGTTCAATGTGAACTCTGCTTAATCTGTTTTCAAATAGTGTATACGAAAAAAAAAGAAGACATCGAAGGACGATGATTAACGGGGTATATCTTCCACTTGAAACAAACTAGGTCATTTCGAGACTAACATATGGTTCAATTTTTTACAATAATTCGCTTGCGCGTACCGGAGGACCCAGAGAAATCCCATGAGGTTGGGCAGGCGACCCTAGTCACGTACAAGCGGGGATTCGAAACCACGCCACTTGACTATCTGACAGACCCTATGATCTAACGCGCACGCATTAAACAATTCGACCACCCAACCTCCGAATGATTTTAATGGTAAAGCGGAACGAAACATATGTATAATAAGATCGGAAATCCGAATTTTAATGATTCTAGTTCGAGTCATGGTTGCTTTGTTTTGATTAGCATGCATTGGAAAAAACCAAATTTGTTATATTTTCGAGACGAAATAACACACAGAAAAAGGAATATTTACAGGAACGCAATTCAGTTACTTACCAAATTCATGTTGTTGTTTTTTCTAGTTGATATAGATTTACAATGTAATTTTGAAGATGATAATCTGTGTGGATGGGGTCAAGCTGATAACGACCAATTTGAATGGACATGGTTTTCGGGTGGTACCCTTTCACCAAAGACTGGCCCACAGACTGACCATACATTTGGCGATAGTGATTCGGGTAAATACTTTTAATTGTCAATAATAATAGACAATATAACCCAAATAACGCATAATAGGTAATAAAAATAAGAGAAAAAGCGAGCAATGGAAATGGGATTTCACTTCTTTCTTTTCTGCATCGAGTGGGCCATGGAAGATGGGCATACACCATGTAGTGTGCTGTGTGAGGCAAATCTTGTCCGGACTGCGGCGCAAAGGCCTGGGGCCTGTTGCACGAAATTTTAACTAAGATAATATCCAAATTTTAGTAATTTGATTTGCTAATATTAGATTTATTTTAATGCTTATATAGCCAATCAGAATTGAAGTATCTACTAAAATTTGGATTTTATCTTTAGTTAAGATTTCGAGAAACAGGGATCAGGTCTTTATATATCGAACTTCAAATGTCAAATGTTTACGTGCACACTTGTGTGTACACGGGAGCTTCGCTTTTCGTCCCATCCGAACTAGACACTGTTCATTGTCAGGCCCTTCGTAAAGCACCACACCGGAAAATCCCAGGGAACTGTCTCGGCGAACAACGGTAGCTAACCCGAGACCTCGTGGTTAGCGAGCCAGCGCAATACTCCATCTCACCGAGTCACGGCGGCCCCCAGAAAACTTACAAAAAGCGAGAAGCAGATATATAAGGGCAGAAAACAAAGCATGGATCTGTTATCCTTCTGTCAGTTGCAGAATGTCTAAAGCAGTTTTCGGCATAAACTAAAAACACACAGTGATTGGAGAGGTTGGTATTTTTTTTAAATTGCAGTATTTTATTTTCAACATTAAAAACCCTTTCTTTTTTAAAGGTCATTTCCTATATATTGAAGCTTCTGGTAGAAAACTTAATGATACTGCCATATTGTTATCTCCCCTTTACCAACCACAGTACAGTTCTTTGTGTTTTGAATTTTGGTATCATATGTATGGTCCAACTAATGGTAAGTTCATCTTTCATATTGAGGCCTCGAATATAAATTTAACATATAACATCATTTTCAAATTCAATCGAAAATATTTTATTTCCCCATCACAAGTTTATTATAATTCTGGACGAGAACGAACGGTGTAAACCATTCTTCTGCTTATTTATTTGTCTATTCTAATCGTAATAATTAGTTCAGACAACATGTCAACTGCGCTTTCAATAAACAGACGCTAAGAATGTATATTGTGAGCTGTAGTCCCTGTGACTTTACACGTCAATTTTAAAGGATTACGGCTCAACATTTTTAGAGCTTTGACTCATAAGCAATCATATATCGAATAATTTTAATCAAATTGTTATGAAATTGGTGTAATGTGTTTATAATAAATACTACTGACTTCAAGTATATACTGACTTTATATAGTCATTGTATGTGCTCTTTAAGTTTTTGATCGCCATACTGCGTTTCATTCATTCACCACTGTGTATGCATGTTTTACTAGATTTGGCACATACGATCACTGATCCATCCCAAACTTAGGCTGCCTGTCTACAGCTAGCTCCGCCTGAGAACAGGCCCTAAGCTAATTACCCGACATTTTAATTCCTACATCGACGATTTTAGTCGAAAACACTGAGTATGCTTTTAGTAATTTTTAGAAGTATTTATTTCTCTTCTATTGTCATATTGAATGAAATTAAATATGTTTATTTAGCCGCTGTGTGTATGAAAGATGTCAAACTAATCAAAGCCGAATCACAAAATAGTCCTCTAATTATTCAATATGGCGGCGCCCATAAAAGGTAATTTCACAGAGGCGGTTTTGTTTGCGAAGACAAATTTAGGAGTATCTAACCTTGTTTTGAAAGATAAACAGATTGAAACTCTAAAGACAGTTTACAATGACAAAGAATTTATTGCAATATTACCCACTAGTACATATTATATATCGCTTTTACCGGATTGGCAGAAGTTTACATTTTGCTAAAGACACGTGTTTACATAAAACACGTGCGTGCTCGAGTTATTTTTACTCTGTTGTGTACACAAAGCGTTAGTCCGGCCGATAAGTCCCTCCCCAAAATGATCACGTGGGCGTTTTAAATGGCGGCTAACTGGGGCAGGGATCATAATGACGTAGATGGATCGCTGCGTGCAGTTTGTCACTGATCATGTAGAATAGAGATGTAATTGTTATATTATTATTTTAGTTGTTGAGAGTTTGGAGTTTTTTGTCTTTGTATAATTTTCTGAGTATTATATATGAGCTTAGGAATCCTTTGATTAGGCGCCCGGGAAAATCTTCTATAGTCATAGCTAAGTGTGAACGTGCATCCTTTTGAAATAATACCAGTATAATGATTATTTTAGCTGTTGGGAGTTTGGAAGTTTTTGTTCAGCCAGAAAGTAGAATACTAGACGATATAGATCCGGAATTTTATATGGCTGGTAATCAAGGTCCTGAATGGAAGCGGGGTTCAATAACAATAGAGAAACAAACAGAATTTTTTCAGGTTAAAGAATTTTATTATAGACATTTCTCTCGTATTTTAATCGTTGAACGTATTTTGTAAAGTATTAGAGACTTTTGGCAAACGTAAATTATTGGTCCGTATTGCGTATCCGTAACGATTTTGCGTGTGACGTCATCAATGCGGGTGTATTTCTCATACGTGATACGGCACACGGATACGGCAGTACGTATCGAACAGCTTTCATACGGAAAAGGTCCGTATAATATCGTCGTCTTTTTACAGTATGTTTTGTTACTTTTAGACGCTGAAATGTTGTGCCGTAGCGTTTTTATGAATGTGTATCCTAGAACACGAAGGTGTATATTTGACGTGATTTTAACTATGGCAAAGACTGGAATTTAATTATTACTTTTGATGAGCTTTTCGCGGAATTTTCATATTTTTCCTGTCTGTCTGCACACTGGTTGATCTACGTGCTAAATTTAGGGAGGTGGGACATTGCAAATCTGTAAAAGGGGTATATACTTTCTGAAATGATACATTAATGAAGATTTTTAATAAGATTCGACACTAATTTTAAAAAAAAAATTGTAAATAACTCAGCAACTGTCGAACGACTTCACTCCCTTCAGGAATTTGTAGGCTAGGTACTTGATTAGTCTAATGTTTATCTTGGTAGATAACTGCCATTATGCTGTAATAAACTACGCTCAGCTCAGCTACCCATACATACGCGGCGCGAAGTCTGCCAAAACTCTAAAACTAAATTAACGCAACGTATCACGCTATACGGATGGGAAAAACTCCACTTGCCAAAAGTCTCTAATATGAAACTCAGTGGTCCGTGTGCCATAAAATGTAATTGGAAAGTAATTGAAATGTAATTGACCATCAGTGGCAGACTGGCTAGGTTGTCAGCTTGCCCAATGGGAAGTGGGCCCCTGAGGAAGTGGGCCCCCTTAGTCGTTAGACAATATATTTGAAATATAAATTATCAAAAAATATATAAATATTAGAAAAAAATTATTAGCATGAAAATATTATAAAAGTTCTATTATATCTTCAATTCTATTACGGGGTTATAGTAATTACTATTGTCTACTGTATTCTACTGTGTACTGCCAGCTATATTTACAGTACATGTAAACTGTCATTACTAAAGAAAACAAAATCACGAAAATTTCCAATTACATCATTTTTGTTTCCACTTACATATTTTTTGAAAATTTAATTGATTCATTTTAAAAATTAAATGATAGAATTGTATTGGTGGGTTTATATTACAAACCTTTATCCAGTTTCACTGGGGACAAGAAACCCAACACATCCCCTGTAATTACAAAAACATACATTTAAAGGATGCAAGTAGCTAACTCAATATCATCCACAGTTTTCGACATTGCAAATACAACTTGGTCAATTTAAATCAACGTTGATGTTGATATATTACCGGGAAAAGATGGGCTTCTGAAATCCAATATTTAAGACAAAATAACAATTTTAAAATTGGCACCCGAATCGCGTGCCAGATTGTTTTCGAGCGTGATTTGTAATGGGACGACTTGGTGAACGAGACTAAACATATCCCACAGGAGAATATACGACCGGTATGGATTGGAATAACCAGACGCCAAAGGCTGTCATTATATTTGCACCCTTCGCATATTTCACCGGTTGTACGTGACAAGGTATAGGGTCGACTGTCCAACCTCGTGGGTTTTCTCCGGGTCCTCTGGTTTCCCCCCACTGCTAAAGACCCATACGCGCAAGCGAATTATTGAAATAAAATTAAACCATATGTTAATCCTGAAATTACCTAGTTTGTGTCTCCTTTAATGCGTGAGTACAATATCCAATCAATTAGAAACATACCCGAAACGTGCTTTTAATTAGGAGATAAAGACTGACAGTTTTCATTAGGACACAAGATGTGTTATTGTCCTATCAACAGTGTCTAATTGATCTACCAAAACGCAATAATCATCGTTAATCACGTTACAAGCATGCTACGGAACACATGTTTAAAAAAGTACAAGTTCTTACTTTATTTTCTAGATAGTAATTGTTGGAACACTAAAGGGGCATTTTCAAAGTGATATTGCTGTGGATGATTTTAAACTATACAATTGCAGTAAAGGTATTCTTCATAATAAATAAGAACTATTTTTCTTTTTTAAAAAAATCAAACGACAGTTATTTTAATGCAGTATGTTACGTTGAATATTGTAACTGATTGTATACATTTGACTTATTTTTTATTCTAAATATTTATTATAGGTTTTCATTGTGATTCGACAAAAAGTTTCAAACGTATTATAAAAATTAATGTAAATATATGTCATTGCTATGTGTCAGCGGTGATCCTGTACTAAAGAATGGCAGCGAACTAAAATGATACCCCCTCTTTGATTTTCGATCAAATATAGATTGTTGATTATGCGAAATGTCAACCTGTCTCCATTAGAAAGGTTAAGTTATGGTTATTTGAAGAACATTGTATTCTTGGTTGTCATTGCTATCGTTGTTACAATAATAAACAAAGTCTCCATTATTCATTTTTTAATTAAACTGATAATCGTGTTTAAATTTAAAATGGATAATCGAGACTTTGTTTATTATCGAAACAACGGTAGTAATGAAAATCGAGACTAAGATATTCTTCAAAAGGTGATAACCTCACTCACAATGCAGTAATTCGATTGAAACTTTCAATGCATTTCCTTTTTCATTGTCTATTTTTAAACTTTTATAGCAAGAACGGTCACTTCTTTACCTAAAGTTTACTTAATTTATCTTTAATAGAACTGTTAAATTATGAGCCGATCGGCCATAACCCCCCATTCCATTGTACAGTCCCTTGTCTGTAATGCCACTGGTACAAGCTTGGCTCAATTCTTAACAATTAATTCTATGGAACGCAATTACTGTTTTTTACTGAGCGACGTTTCTACTAGGCTGCTCTAGTCATTATCATTATATCAAGCAATAATAAAATATAAAATATAACGAGACAAAATACAAATGTTAAAAACAAAACGTGGTTAAGGTTAATGCTGGTCAACTTCATTATATCAAGCAATGATAAAATATACAATGTAACAAGACAAAATACAAATGTAAAAAACAAAACTTGGTTAATGCTGGCCAACCAGAGACACCCTTCTAATTACCTTGAAATAAACCTTGAAGTAATGTAATTATGAAAGCGATCAAAGTTGATGAGGGTAATAATAATAACAACATCCAATTTATGACATAGTCCACTTTCTGGTTTGATATAACAATGTATAGTCTAAAAGGAAATCTTGGTATATTGAAGAAAAGAAAGTTGATAAAATCCATAGTAGTAGATTTATAACATATATTACCCGTATGCGTGTATTTACAAAAGATCCTTTCTTTTGTTTTAGATGATCCGGATGATCTTGAATTGAACGGTTTTCCAGAAACGAATACTGCAGAAAGTGTTATTATACCACAAACAAAACATGGAGATACAGAGAGTGGAAATAATCCGAGTACAGAATCATATCCCGGTGTGACAGAAGACAGTGAAGCAACAACAGCGCTGCCTACCATGACTGTAGATCCTTTCTCAACGGTAGCTGTATCTTCAGCAATCCCCCAGCAAGCGGTTAACTCAATCCGAACGTCAAGTGACGCCACAATAGTTCTTGCTTCACATATTGTATCCGTAAGAACTCAAGACATCAAACTATCGACACAATATGAACGAACTGGTGATCCTGCAGTTAGTGAAGAATCCGCACCTTATCTGTCATTACTAATATCTGGTACAACCGGGGATCCAGCATCGTCAATAGAAAATGATTGGTATGTGAGAGAAACTCTTCGCCCTACTATGACCAGACATCCATTGCCGAGAGGCTTCTCAACTTCTGAACATCTTCAAAGTCAGCAATACAGTCATACAAGTAATGACTTAACTTTATCTCCAGCAATTACATTCTTTGCTTCACCATCTTTATCCACCATAACACAAAGCTTCACAGCATATTGAAGAAAAGAAAGTTAATAAAATCCATAGTAGTAGATTTATAACATATATTACCCGTATGCGTGTATTTACAAAAGATCCTTTCTTTTGTTTTAGATGATCCGGATGATCTTGAATTGAACGGTTTTCCAGAAACGAATACTGCAGAAAGTGTAATTATACCACAAACAAAACATGGAGATACAGAGAGTGGTATTAATCCGAGTACAGAATCATATCCCGGTGTGACAGAAGACAGTGAAGCAACAACAGCGCTGCCTACCATGACTGTAGATCCTTTCTCAACGGTAACTGTATCTTCAGCAATCCCCCAGCAAGCGGTTAACTCAATCCGAACGTCAAGTGACGCCACAATAGTTCTTGCTTCACAAATTGTATCCGTGAGAACTCAAGACATCAAACTATCGACACAATATGAACGAACTGGTGATCCTGCAGTTAGTGAAGAATCCGCACCTTATCTGTCATTACTAATATCTGGTACAACCGTCGATTCAGCATCGTCAATAGAAAATGATTGGAATGTGAGAGAAACTCTTCGCCCTACTATGACCAGACATCCATTGCCGAGAGGCTTCTCAACTTCTGAACATCTTCAAAGTCAGCAATACAGTCATACAAGTAATGTCTTAACTTTATCTCCAGCAATCACATTCTTTGCTTCGCCATCTTTATCCACCATAACACAAAGCATCACAGCATATTGAAGAAAAGAAAGTTAATAAAATCCATAGTAGTAGATTTATAACATATATTACCCGTATGCGTGTATTTACAAAAGATCCTTTCTTTTGTTTTAGATGATCCGGATGATCTTGAATTGAACGGTTTTCCAGAAACGAATACTGCAGAAAGTGTTATTATACCACAAACAAAACATGGAGATACAGAGAGTGGAAATAATCCGAGTACAGAATCATATCCCGGTGTGACAGAAGACAGTGAAGCAACAACAGCGCTGCCTACCATGACTGTAGATCCTTTCTCAACGGTAGCTGTATCTTCAGCAAACCCCCAGCAAGCGGTTAACTCAATCCGAACGTCAAGTGACGCCACAATAGTTCTTGCTTCACAAATTGTATCCGTAAGAACTCAAGACATCAAACTATCGACACAATATGAACGAACTGGTGATCCTGCAGTTAGTGAAGAATCCGCACCTTATCTGTCATTACTAATATCTGGTACAACCGGGGATCCAGCATCGTCAATAGAAAATGATTGGTATGTGAGAGAAACTCTTCGCCCTACTATGACCAGACATCCATTGCCGAGAGGCTTCTCAACTTCTGAACATCTTCAAAGTCAGCAATACAGTCATACAAGTAATGTCTTAACTTTATCTCCAGCAATCACATTCTTTGCTTCACCATCTTTATCCACCATAACACAAAGCATCACAGCACGAACACAATATCAACGAACTGACGATCCCGCAACGATTGAAGAAGAATCTTTGCCGTTGCTAAGAATTACCACAACTAACTTTCTAACACCATCAATAGAAAACAAAGTGATTGTGTCAGAAACATTCCAGCCAACGTGGTCAATGGAAACATTCAATACCATAGAGACTTCTTTTCAGTTCTTTGAAAATGCGCATATGATACAGACAGTGCGATCAGTAGGGGGCGACCTTGCAACAGATCCACCGGATGGTCCAACGGGAATAGATTTTAAAGCAACGCCATTGAGCACCGGCACTGCATCAGTTATTTTTCACATTCCATCCTCCATTTACGCAAATAGTATACACCAAACGGTTCAAGCAAACAATTCCGAAACCGATATCGAACCATCTGAAACAATCATGCCGACTAATGTACTCACAACTAATTTACAACCCAAACATAGCACACATGGCTTTTCAAGTAAACTGGCTATATCATCATCTCTACCAGAAAGACCACACCAAGCAACCAGCTACTCATACCTACCAATAAATAATTCAAATGGGGAAGGTAGTGATTTACACGAATTTGAATATGGTCCAAGTCCTACAATTGACCATTTAAATACCGAACTAGTTAACAAATCCAAGGAATTCTATAATCCAGAAATTAGAGAAACTATTTCAATAGTAACAATGTCAATACATTTTATTATAATTATCTCGTGTTGTATAGTGCTTGGGCTTATTTTCATTGCTATAGCAGCTTATATATGGGCAAAAAGAGAAGAAGAAGGTGCCCTAAGTTACCGTTGTGCTAATAACGAACTGCAGTCATAGCTGATATGTCGTCTTTTCGTTTTTTGTTTTTCAATGAAGTGCTTGCTCGTATGTTTTCCATCTTTTGGAACTTAAACAACTGATAATATTACCACGACTAAATGTTGTTATGCTATGGATTATGGATGTTATGTTGACCCCCCCCCCCCCATTCAAGACCTATATTTGCATTTACCATTTCTTATGTGTATCGTTCATTGAACGATATGCAGATGTGCTGATGTGCCCTGTCGCTCATGCACAACCCGAACGCAAACTTTATATGGCCACCACCCCACTGTTAATTTTCTTATCTTTTTTCAATGTTGTCAATACTTTATATAAAAAAAGAGACACACCTCGGATAAATTACCAGTGCCTATGTGATTGATTTTCATGACTCTCTTCAGATTAAAGATTTTTAAAGTAATATAATGGTGTAGGTTGTTGGGTTTGTAATTAAGAGAGTTCTATTACTTAAATTAGTTGCAGACGGGGGTGTTCGATGGCAAATCGACGAACAGATCAAATCTAATGTTGCTGTAATTACATGTTCAAATGCCAACAGCACAAGGTTGACTTGTCGTAGTTGTAGCATGCTCCTGGATTGTAGATGTGACAAACGTTCCATTTCGACCGTAAAATAACATTTTCCGTACTTAAATTTGGAAATTAAAGTTTTGACTGTATATCAAACCCAACATGTGTGTTGGGATCTTGATCGGGCACTACATGTCAAGAATGGGGTTGGCTCGTTCGGCGATCACTTGTCAAATATCGCTTCCGAAGCCTGCATATATGCTGTCAACATATTGACATTGTTTTTTTGCTGTCGGCATCCCCATGTTAAGGAGGGGGGGGGGCTGATAAGCATATCTATAACCTGTTATATGTCCTTCTTCATGATTGTGGGGAAGCCGTGGTGACCCAGTGGGTGAGGCGTTGGCTCATTAACCTTGTAGGTCCGAAAACCCAAGACCCCTAGCCCACATTGTCGTGCATATAGAAGAACTATTGGCATTTGGAATTCGATATAAGAGTAGGCCGTAGAGCAGCTGTCCGGGGCAAATTTCCCTCGGTGAGAAAAATAGGACGTTATCCCATTTCATTTACTGCGTATACTCTCCCCAGTGCTGATGTTTCGGGATTCAAATTTAAAATTACAAAGGACGATCGAATAGAAAATGTTGGCTGGATTATTTGTGAAACACTGGTATCATAAAATGATGCGCTACATCGATATTCAGCGCTCTGCGACCTTGTTGTTCCCGGGTTATTCCCCCTTTGCCGAATACCTTTTCATAGAATTCTTTGAAATTTGATATGGCGCATTGGGGTTAAGCCCAATTCAGTATTCCACGACTTACGGTTGGAAGAGGTTTTCCATAAATATTGTAAATACTTTTGAAGCATTGATGAAGCATTGTAACGTTTCGGGTGCTCCAACTTAACCGTAATAACTTTTTTTCTCAAATTAATGTATCATTGCCTTGAAACTAGAATGAGCAAGACGATTGCAAGCGGTTCTCCTTGGATGATTTCGAAACAACAGCAAATTGATCATAACATTAAAAACGAAGAGTTGCTTCAATCCATTAATATCCAAAGATGCAAGGGCGTGTTCAGGAGTTTGAGCAGACGAGGCCCAATCTGTGAAATCTAGGAATTATCCGAGACTTTTATAAAATCAGTAGCCCTGGGACAAGATTTCTGCTCATTTAGATACATATGTATGTGGATCGGATTAGAGCACAATGAGACCAGAACGGCGACAGTGCTTCGCGCATTTGTTAGACGTTATTTGATGAATGTATTTGATGATTTTTTCTGTCTCCCTAAAAAAATGATAGAGATAGATCGATAGATTGATAGATAGATTTTATTACATAAAACTCCCTTTTCGGGCAGCATGTAAATTATACATTACAGTCAGTACCATAAATACATTATAAAAGTGGATGAAAATACATAAAAAAAAATGGATGCAGATATATAAAAAGTGGATGAAAATTACATAAAATTGGATGAAATGTACATTATATACATTGAGGGAATATGTACAAAATATAAACCAAAGTTTTGAATGCATGTCATAGTCGCTTGAACTAAACGTGAAGAGGTCTTTGAATTGTAGGTTATTGTGTTGTTTTTTTTATAGAAGTGGGTGCCACATCCCTTATTTTGAAAGCATGTTGCACAAAGTTGCACACTGTTTTTGCCTACATGAAGATATTTGGGGAATATGTTAATGCAATCTTGTGCAAGTTGTTATCTGAACTCTCCATATTGTCATTATATACCCAACTTCGGGGGGGGGGGGGTCGGATGGCCGAATGGTTAGCACGTGCTCGCTGTATCATACGACCTGTCATTGAGTCAACTGGCGTGGTTGCGAATCCCTGGTTGTACGTGACAAGGAGTAGGGTCGCCTGTCCGACCTCGTGGGTTTTCTCCGGGTCCTCCGGTTTCCTCCCACTGCTAAAGACCCCGGCGCGCAAGCGAATTATTGAAATAAAATTAAACCATATGTTAGTCCCGAAATGACCTAATTTGTGTCGTGTGGACTTTAAACCCCATTTCTCCCTCTCCCTCTCCCAACTTCGAGTAATTAAGACGCACGGAGGAAAGTTATCAGAGATGAGTTAGATTACGACCTTCTAGAATACAATATACTACTAGATTTCTATCAAGCCAAGTGGTTATAAGTGTGGGAGGTGTCAGGGTGGGGTTAAAGTGGGTGGGGCTGATGGACTGCATAAAGGGTCCTCTAATATTATAAGGGGTCCCCAAATTAGTTCTAGCAAAATTTGGTACCATAGATAAATAATTATGCCATGTATGTTGTGCCAAATAAATCTATCTACCTTCCTGACATAAAAGTTGCTTTTGTGTGAGTGGGATGGACAATCAGAATGTGCCCTCTTTTCACTTTTGATGCAAGGGCCCCCAGTGACATATTCAGCCAGGGGCCCTGTGGAACTAGCTTAATCCGTCCCTGGGCAGTTGTTTTCCTGTATTTTTCCACAGATAACTTGCTGGGGTCTACAGTTGAATTAAAAATCTTATACATGTTTGTTAATTGAATCGGTTTTTCAAAGTAGGCCCTATAGGTGCCTTTTTGTTGTTGGACGTTTTGTGTTTTTCTTCTTTTGTTATAATGAATCGTGGGGTTGTGAACGATTATAACTGCTTAGATTACTGTAGTCTCGCCTTAAATAAATCAATAATTAGGTTAGCGAGACGTTTTGTTTTCATTGATCTCTCAACTGCAAGACACTTAGACAAATAAGAAATGGGCAGATAACTCGTTCTGGCATTGAAACAGAAAATGGTGAATTCACGGCAGTTCGGCACGATTGATGATGGATCACCACATTTAGTTGATGAGTGCAACAGATACATTAGCTACACAACAGCAGTAAACGTATTGTGATTTAAATGTAGACCCCTTCAAGGAGGTAAGTGTTTGTTCAGTTTAAGTTGTTCTTGTTTTTTTTACAACCTTGTTGTTCAAGTGTTAGCCACATGTAATCCATAGTTACAAGAACTGAATAGCATAGCAACCATGTAATTAATTTCTAATAATCTTCTCTTATTGAATAATGTTATGCCAACAGCAAAAGCAGATTTTTGATAAGCTGGTCACTCTGGATTAATGTTAATTAAGCTTGTTATAAATGTATTGATATACAGGAATTATATATGGTGTTAAAACAATAGCCAATTGATTATTAGTCCAATACCATGGTTAGATCTACTACAATAACTTTATCTAATAATATTATTGATATCATGTATGTCTGTTTACATAATACTGATAATTCTACTAGCGGTTCCTGGAATTTTGGATCAATTCAGTGCAAATTGGCACTGAGCATAAATAAAATAGCAATAATATGCCCCCTCTCCCTCAAAAGTGAGCCATTTGTGCCTCTTTGACAGATTTTTATAAAAAGAAATAATTATTACTGGTTAATGGGAGAGGTGGGGGAATGGGGCTGATGGCATTACTACAACAAGAAAGATTTTGATGATCCAGGAGGCATCGTCACTTTACAAAATGCCAAACTGATTTTTATATTATCCATAGCCATACATGTAATTAACCTGTGATAGATTTGCCATTTTGTTTGTCCTGTTCCATTTTGTCCTGGGATCTCAGGACAAAATTATAAGAGTATAACATTATAAGAGTAGGCTGTAGTTTCGCTGTCTGTAGGCCTATGGTGTTTGTCCATCTTCATTAGCCCAGTCGCTGCCAAAAGTAGGTATTTAAACTCGATTTCATCTGGTTTTCTGTGACATTATGTCTGGATCCCACTATCAAACACACCCAACAGTGCCGTGTATTTGTTCAGAAACACGCCAAGATGAAAATATTATGGAAATACGTGTATATAAATATTTCCTGTAATCTGCTGATCAGAAATGTTGATTTTTCTTTGTAGTGCACAGTAAGGTATCTTGATAACTAATGCCCAATTTCTTGTCAGTGCCATATTAATTACCAATGTCAAGGCTCCTAGATTGGACCTCTCGACATGCAACAGACACCACCACCTGTTCCTACTTACATGCTTTCCTTTGGTACTATTTATTACAATAATATTAGAAATGGAGTAACGAAGAAAATAACATAACATTAAGGAATCTAGAATATTATAATTAAAGCACAATTTCTTGTTGTACTTGATACTAAATCCATGGACATACAAATATTTCTGAAATGAAAAATAAAAGTTCAAGCCTTTTAGGCACAATTTCTTGTCCATTCTCAATTCTACATGCATGGACATACAAATGTTTATGAAATGAAAAGTAATTGTGTGCCTAGCAACATTTCAAGCCTCTAAGAGACTGACCACATTATTGACCTATAGGCCATTTAAAGTAGCTAAGTCTCTAACTCAATATCATCCAAAGTCTTACACGTTGAAAATATGAATTATTTGTCAATTCAAATCAACATTGATGTTGTGATCTTACCAGGAAAAGGCAGGCTTCTGATATCCAATATTTAAGACAAACTAAACATTTTACCATTGGTACACGATGACGAATCATCCAGAAAGAACGAGGCTAGACATATTCAACTGAAGAGCCTGGTCAATAGACTGGAATAACCAGACGCTAGAAATTGCTATAGGGTTGGGACACATGCCGTATTTTGCTGGATATAACTGATTTGAAATTAGAGTAAAAACGGAAACAATTGAATGTAAATCAGTTCATATACAATCAGATTACATTATTATATACGTTGCGACCCATTTGGTTCAATTTCTAGGTCCCAAATATTAGCGATTTAGCTCCTTTAAATTAACGTATTATTAATCTTTATGTTATTTTTATATCCGGAGAAAGAAAATCAATTTTCATGTTTTATTTATCTGGTGTGTATTGATTCTACATAGTGTATTACAATTACTTACTGATCTCAACATATTTTTTACTATGTAAATAATTAAACTACTTGATTTTTATATAAATATTGTCTTTAAGC